GGGGGGGGGATTTAGTACATATTATAGCATATTCTGAAATATATCATAAGAAAAAACATGAGGCCCATGGGCCCTAATGGTCACCTGATTGAAAGTATGAATATTGAGTGGAATCTTACTTTATGTGAGTAAAGCTAAGTGGGGGAAGTGTCCCCTAATTTTGGGCATAGTCTAAATCTACAAGTAACTTAGAGAAGAGTGTCATTTGAGGTTTTCGCTATTAGTGACCCCAATGAGCCCCTCTGGAGGTAGCCCCTTCCTGACTTGATATTCTGATCCTCATCATCTAAGGATTATTTTAACAGTGGTCAAACTCCAACAATATGAGCCACTGGAGATGCAATTTGAAGGTAGTGCAGGGTAAAAGCGTTTTTGATTATCAATTTTATCCTCATCATCTAAGGATTATTGAATATGATGAAAATTAACGAAGAAGTTTCAGAAAAGATGCCATTTGAACATTTTGCACTCACTCTGTGACCCCTGATTATTTAAGCAATGGCCCTGCCCCTCAGCCTTCTACAGAAGTCAACCCCTTCTAGAGTATATAGATTACCATATAGTTTCATCAAATTCTGACAGTTTCTGGAGAGAAGTTGAAAATATAACTGCTTATGGACAACACGTATATGACAGACAACTCGCAACAAACGGAGGAAAGGCAATCCCAGTCGACAACGCTCCTTTACTTGTATACATCTCCTACAAGAGTTTCATTAAAGTGACAAACATTAGCGTAACTGTCACTGGTGTTAATTTAGTGTGTTCATACACTAAGGAAAAGGTCTGCAGGGCCTGTTGTTGACTTTCACTTCAATATTTAAAGGAGAAATTCAAAATAAGACAGTGTCAGCGGTTTTATGGTTTATATAAAACATTATTTATTGGTGTATATTTGGAAGTTATACTATGAAAATAAAAAGGTCCACAGGGTTCACTGCTGTCATGGTATCTATACAGTGAACACTTGACAACATTGTTACCCATTGTTACCTATTCATCACAGTTTTACAAGTATATAGCATCTGTATCAAAATACACCATCAAGACTAGATTAAATGGATAGATTGGGGGAGGGGGAATCAAATATTTGAATAATTATGAAATCTAATTCACAAAAATAATAAATATTTTAAGCAAAAATGTTAAAAAAGACAAAAAAAATACCAAGTACAATGTAACATTTCAGAGCACAAAAGATATCTATGCATGGCATGTAACCACTGTTGGAAGTTGTGATTTACGACACTGTGACACATTCTGAATAACTGTTCATCACAACATGGAATGAATAAAAAAGACTGAAAACCTGGTAAGGGGAGACAACAGCTGGTGCATAGGAGATTATATTGATATATGCTGCCTTATGACTGGCAATGATAGACAATGTCAAATACATGGTATTTTAACTCCTATGATAACATCAATAGATCAATATCCTCCTTCATAATGTTTTAGAAAACCTGGATACATTTACATTAAAACTAATTTAAACATCATGTTTTTTTTCATTAATTTAATTTAAAACAATCAAATAAGGAACCTATTTAATAGCCGATATATATACTGTAGTATTTTTCTTAAGGAAATTGTCCATAAAACTTTTGTCTATAAATATTTTTTGCATATTATTATTAAAAAGAAATAGTAAATTCTTTTAAAACAGACATCATTAAAGACGTTTCCTGGTGGAAGGGAGATAACTCTACCAAACCTATGGTTAATCACCAGTACCATCTACAGTTAACCCTTTCACCACTATGGACCATAATGGACTCATCCATATCAATGCATGGTAGGGTCTACTCAATTTACATAGGGGTGAAAGGGTTAAACCTCACTATTCTGTATCTCACTAATTGTCAATGTATTTCAAGGTCCTCTTTGTCCTAACAATTCCTTTAGAGGTAATCCTCGATACTTTGCTGAACGCCGTTACATATTAAAATGTTGCTGACAAGTCCGAGCAGTATCAGGTTTTACTGTACATAAATAGGTTGCAAACAAAATACAACTTTTACTTTCTTTAACGGTTTATAAATATGGCACATTTAAATTATTACATATAAAATGTTTCATTATGCACAAAGTATTTAGATATAAGGAAGATCTTTGATGAATCTGTACATAATATCAACCTTCGGCATGTGGTTGGATAACATATTATCACAAAATTTTATATGGTTTAGATTTAAAAATTTATTTATTTATATGGCAAGTTCTTTGGTGATGTTATGACTATGATCTGATGATCAAAAACAGACAGAATGACAAATGAAGGAGAACAATGGCTACTTCACACAGATAATACCCTAATAAAGGATCTCAGATGATATATTTGTTTATTATCAACAAGTAATAGTAATTTGTATGAATCATGAAAACGAATTTTATTACAAGGGTATATTTATATCCATGTACCATAGACTGCAAAAATATCAGTTTAAAATAGGAAGTAGTAGTTTTTGTTTAAAATACAAAGCTTTTGTAAATATCTCCACACTGATATTGTCATCAATTTATCCTTTCCATTCCAATTGCACTCTAAACTTCTGAACATGGATTGCTGACGTGTACATGTAACAGATATATAGAATTGACAGTCCAACAACTGTGTAGTCTGAACTTAACAGGATCCGTGATTTGTGAATATCATACATGTATGTCTGAACTTAACAGGATCCGTGATTTGTGAATATTATACATGTATGTCTGAACTTAACAGGATCCGTGATTTGTGAATATCATACATGTATGTCTGAACTTAACAGGATCCGTGATTTGTGAATATCATACATGTATGTCTGAACTTAACAGGATCCGTGATTTGTGAATATCATACATGTATGTCTGAACTTAACAGGATCCGTGATTTGTGAATATCATACATGTATGTCTGAACTTAACAGGATCCGTGATTTGTGAATATCATACATGTATGTCTGAACTTAACAGGATCCGTGATTTGTGAATATCATACATGTATGTCTGAACTTAACAGGATCCGTGATTTGTGAATATCATACATGTATGTCTGAACTTAACAGGATCCGTGATTTGTGAATATCATACATGTATGTCTGAACTTAACAGGATCCGTGATTTGTGAATATCATACATGTATGTCTGAACTTAACAGGATCCGTGATTTGTGAATATCATACATGTATGTCTGAACTTAACAGGATCCGTGATTTGTGAATATCATACATGTATGTCTGAACTTAACAGGATCCGTGATTTGTGAATATCATACATGTATGTCTGAACTTAACAGGATCCGTGATTTGTGAATATCATACATGTATGTCTGAACTTAACAGGATCCGTGATTTGTGAATATCATACATGTATGTCTTACTGGTGTTAACCCGAGTTGGACCCTGATGTATATAGAGAGAGCATTGTGTATTTACACAAAGAAGAAAACAGAATGTATCGATGCAGTAGAAATAAGAATTTTATAACTTATCAAGTAAGTTTAAATATATGCAAGGTAAAATGGTTTGGTTTTAATCGTACCCCATTTTCAGAAAATGTTCATTTGGAAATATCCTTTGTTAATCTGGTAAAAATATAAGCCATCTTCTTTTAAACAGGATTTTGATTTCTCATGATGCTGTGAAATATTTAGGTGATAATGTCTAGATAAAGAAAACATGAAGCCTGTACTGTTTATGTGTTATCACCGACAACTAAACGACAACTTTATACCAGTACTGGTGCAGTGAGATACATCGTATATGTTAGATTTAGCATTGATAAAAACAACTACTTATTAGTATTGATAATACCATGTACATCATGGTTTTATTAAAATAACTTTGTTTTAGAAATTTGCTGATCGGACAATATTACATGTGTAACCTGCTAACACATATATGTATATTAGGCTACACATGTGTAACATGTCACACACATGTGGACTAGTCTACGACGGGACAACAAGATAGAGTCATATCACTAAATGAACCACCATATCTGTTCCCATCATGTTTTTTCACCTACTGGCCTGTTAAGACATATTTATTAACCCTACGTTGTATACAACTTTAAAACTATTGGTATTGCAATTATCACCAGTGTCACGAAAAAAAGAACTGCATAAAAGAAATTTCTGATCAATCCGTTGCAGAAAGAAACCAGTTATAATTTGCACCACTTTTGACATTTATACATGTAAACATAAGATAACCAATCAGTTAGATTATAACATATCATATTAACCAATCAGCAACTGTGTAACAAGTACAGCTGATGACACATCAATGAACCTTAGAATTCACCAATTAACCAATCAGTATCAGCTACACTTGTACAAAGTCACACATTTTTTATTAATCACATATTGTAAAATTGCACCAAATCAACCTCTTTTCACTTAATCTACAGACCAATTCATCAGAGTGTGTACCCAAATAACGGACCAATCAGCTACAACGTACTATTAACTGACCAATCGGCTACAGTGTACCAAGTAACTACTGTATACGAGGAAATCTCCACTGCAGTGTAACTTCAGCCATATTTAACCGCTGTAATTAGGTTGAATTTATATCACAAAGTCTCTGTGATTATTAAACATATAGCATACCAAGTACATGTAATTTAAAGGGTGAAATTAACACCAGGCCAATATGGATTTCATCTGTAAAGGAAAAATATTTGACTCAGCAAAAATTTCCTGGTATAGAGTAATTAATCAGCCACTGTGTACCAACTAACTGACCAATCCGCTACTGTGTACCAACTAACTGACCAATCAGCTACAGTGTTACAAATTACTGACTTATCAGCTACACTGTACATGTTGGTACTTATTTTTATCAAACTGAAGAATGAACAACAAACACAGACCAATGAGAGATTGTGTTATAAAAATTCTGCTTTTGTCGTTCCTCAATGAGCTAGAGGGTAACTTGTTTCTGACCAGTGAGCTGCTGGAGGACGGAGTTCCACTCGTACCATTCCTCCTCGTCCTTGACCTTGAAGATGTGACAACGACCTTTACCACTTTTGGCCTTCAGGCAGATTTTCTTCTTCACCTTCCCTTTACCTGCACCACCAGAAGCTGTAACCCACATTTCATGACAGAATGATCAACACCTGTCACACTCCAATGGTTATTTTTTATTTCAATATAAACGCCTCATCATGAACCATTCTTTATCAAAATAATACAACACGCTTTATTATTTTACCCATATTATGACACCATTATTGACATAGACACTTCAAAATTTTTAAGACATGTACATTTTTATAGATATACTTTTTGAGAAATAACAAGATTAAGGATGGATGATGGACAGTTTGAACAGCACACTATGCAAAGATGTTGGGAAATGAAAGTGGGATTATAGTGGGATATTTAATTACTGTACTTACAAAAGCTGTCTTTTCTGGACATTTGGACATCATACGTTGCAAGATTAATGAACTTGGACATTAAAACCACACCACTCTGTATAAAATAACAAAATAGCCACCATTTAGTTACGAATTACCATAATATAAATTTGGAATTATTAGTTATTCAATCTTTAAATTTGAAAATGTGATAAAAATAACTCAAAAATATATTAAAATTGCTTGATATCAAATCTCTTTAAAAAAAAAAAAATGTTTTATTCTTCATTATAAAAGATATAAATCTCTATAAGATGTTTCAGTAAATTTTCAGTTTAGAGATCTGAAGTAAAATTTGACATTGTCCTCAATCTGTATCAAGGGAGATAACTCACAGCCTGTGCGACAGCTCGACTGTACTCAATGGTACTGGGTTTTTCCCTCAACACGACCCGTACCACTCTCCAGTCCTTGGCTATGTGTCTCTGTTAGAATCAAACAAGTATTAATAGCTCAACTTAACCAGTACAACTATCTAAATCTCAGACATGTTTTTATAGAAACAAAAGTAGGTTTAATACCTCAACAAGACCTGCTTCTCTAGATTTGGCTATGTCTCCTCTAGGAAACAAACATGGATTACATGTACTAAATCAATACAGCAACAAATGCAACTATCCAGGCCCTGGTAATGTGTCTCTTTAGGAAACATTTCTCATTCACAAGAAAGGCAATAGACTAACAGCTGAGGTGTGTGACTAAATGATGATATCCCATAACCCTGTACTCATTCTACAGTGGATCTTCATAGGTCCAACCACATTCATTCCCAGCAAATTGATTGTGAGACAGCTGGACTACTGAATAAACTGGTGTGAAAACATAGTAATCCGTGTAAATTACTGTTTGGATAGAGTCAGTTAATGATGGCTTAATTTACAAGGTTTCAGTATATACTTCACATGGACTTTTTTTTAATGTTTTGAAAGCTCTGTTATTTCTACTTAGTTTGGTAGAAACAGTACATTTTTGGGTACGTATTGTGCTGCAAGGTCCATGGTTCTACTTTTTTTTCTTTTCTTTTTTTTTGCTCAGTTTTATAGCATAAAGCAAAAATAATAAGTTTCCACAATGTGGTCCTTTGTTCAGAAACCAAACTATTTCCACACTGCAGAAAAGTAAAATTAGAAAATTTACTTAAATAACAATTGGTGTTCTCACAAATTCTCACTGGCATAAGGGATAGGCCCCCTGTACAGATTTTCTCATCATGGTTTATGTAACATCTTCAACAGCTGCTGTGCTAGGTACCAAACCAAAACACAAATACTACTGTACACTGAAGTATGCCATTTCTTTCTTACATTCAGTCATTTCCCACAATAATTTTAGCATGTGAAACAGGTGTTCATTTAATACAAGATAAAGAATTCATTGTTTGAATTGTAAAGAATATAAATTGATTATCTTTTCTTACCCTCTTCAATAAGAACCTTTCCCTGAGAATTTTGCCCTTCCTGAGCTTGACGTCGATGTCAACATTCTCCTCCTCCTCATCAGAAGATTCCGAGTCGCTGTCTGTACTGTCATAGTAACTGTTCCTCTTGCCGTCCAAATTCAGTGACGTCTGTCAAATAAATCTCTAATGAATCCAACAATGAAATCCGTACCAAGGTAGTTGGTAGTATATATATAGTGTGTTGACATACATACCCCAGTGCTTTTAGCACTAATACAAAAGCACTGAATTAAATGGAACTGCTAAATTCAAAATTACAATTTTCCTACATTTTAACGAAAGCTTTTGCACTAGATCATGACATGTGTAACTTAAAATTTGTTCCAGATGCAAATATGAGAGTTCTACTACAAATACAGTTACAGCATTTTCCTACAAAAACACTTTCCAGTCTACCCAGCTGTAGAAACATGTACCAGCATGCTAGGAAGCAATTGTGAAAAGACAAGAATCCTCATCTGAGTCTTGGTTGCTGAATGCTGTAGAAAATGGGATCAGCTCAGGCTTCATAAGCAATTAGTCTGAAAGGCTTTACTTTTAAGAATGTAGCCACAAAGTGTTGCCTTTGAACACTTCTTTTCCATTTTCTCCACAAAAATGCAAAAATATACTTACAAATCTGTACAGTTTATCATCGTCCCTGAATTTTGCCGAGGCCCCTGCAGCACCATCATTGATATCAACCTCCTGGACGTGTCCTAACTTGAGCACAGTTTGGACCATGGCTGATCCAGCATCTCGTTTTCTAACTATTGACCAACGGATCAGCCAATCAACCACATCACTACCTACAGGAAGTAATGAGAAAAAACAATGAAGAAAATAGTCACAAAACAGAAGCTTAAAGCAAGGTACAGTCACAAATCAGAAACTTATAGCAAGGTACAGTCACAAATCAGGAGCTTAAAGCAAGGTACAGTCACAAATCAGAAGCTTAAAGCAAGGTACAGTCACAAATCAGAAACTTAAAGCAAGGTACAGTCACAGATCAGAAGATTAAAGCAAGGTACAGTCACAAATCAGGAGCTTAAAGCAAGGTACAGTCACAGATCAGAAGCTTAAAGCAAGGTACAGTCACAGATCAGGAGCTTAAAGCATGGTAGTCACAGATCAGAAGCTTAAAGCAAGGTACAGTCACAAATCAGAAGCTTAAAGCAAGGTACAGTCACAAATCAGAAGCTTAAAGCAAGGTACAGTCACAAATCAGAAGCTTAAAGCAAGGTACAATCACAGATCAGGAGCTTAAAGAAAGGTACAGTCACAGATCAGAAGCTTAAAGCAAGGTAGAGTCAAAAATCAGAAGCTTAAAGCAAGGTACAGTCACAAATCAGGAGCTTAAAGCAAGGAACAGTCACAAATCAGAAACTTAAAGCAAGGTACAGTCACAAATCAGAAACTTAAAGCAAGGTAGTCACAAATCAGGAGCTTAAAGCAAGGAACAGTCACAGATCAGGAGCTTAAAGCAAGGTGCAGTCACAAATCAGGAGCTTAAAGCAAGGAACAGTCACAAATCAGAAAGTTAAAGCAAAGTACAGAAACAAATAAGAACCTTAAAGCAAGGAACAGTCACAAATCAGAAACTTAAAGCAAGGAACAGTCAAAAATCAGGAGCTTAAAGCAAGGTACAGTCACAAATCAGAAGCTTAAAGCAAGGTGCACTCACAAATCAGAAGCTTAAAGCAAGGTACAGTCACACATCAGAAGCTTAAAGCAAGGTGCACTCACAAATCAGGAGCTTAAAGCAAGGTACAGTCACAGATCAGAAACTTAAAGCAAGGTACAGTCACAAATCAGGAGCTTAAAGCAAGGTACAGTCACAAATCAGAAGCTTAAAGCAAGGTACAGTAACACATCAGAAACTTAAAGCAAGGTACAGTCAAAAATCAGAGGCTTAAAGCAAGGTACAGTCACAAATCAGAAGCTTAAAGCAAGGTAGTCACAAATCAGGAGCTTAAAGCAAGGTACAGTCACAAATCAGGAGCTTAAAGCAAGGTGCAGTCACAGATCAGGAGCTTAAAGCAAGGTACAGTCACAAATCAGAAGCTTAAAGCAAGGTACAGTCACAAATCAGAAGCTTAAAGCAAGGTACAGTCACAGATCAGAAGCTTAAAGCAAGGTACAGTCACACATCAGAAGCTTAAAGCAAGGTACAGTCACAGATCAGAAGCTTAAAGCAAGGTACAGTCACAAATCAGAAGCTTAAAGCAAGGTACAGTCACAAATCAGAAGCTTAAAGCAAGGTACAGTCACAAATCAGAAGCTTAAAGCAAGGTACAGTCACAAATCAGAAGCTTAAAGCAAGGTACAGTCACAAATCAGAAGCTTAAAGCAAGGTACAGTCACAAATCAGAAGCTTAAAGCAAGGTACAGTCACAAATCAGAAGCTTAAAGCAAGGTACAGTCACAAATCAGAAGCTTAAAGCAAGGTACAGTCACAAATCAGAAGCTTAAAGCAAGGTACAGTCACAAATCAGAAGCTTAAAGCAAGGTACAGTCACAAATCAGAAGCTTAAAGCAAGGTACAGTCACAAATCAGAAGCTTAAAGCAAGGTACAGTCACAAATCAGAAGCTTAAAGCAAGGTACAGTCACAAATCAGGAGCTTAAAGCAAGGTACAGTCACAGATCAGAAGCTTAAAGCAAGGTACAGTCACAGATCAGAAGCTTAAAGCAAGGTACAGTCACAGATCAGAAGCTTAAAGCAAGGTACAGTCACAAATCAGAAGCTTAAAGCAAGGTACAGTCACAAATCAGAAGCTTAAAGCAAGGTACAGTCACAAATCAGAAGCTTAAAGCAAGGTACAGTCACAGATCAGAAACTTAAAGCAAGGTACAGTCACAGATCAGAAGCTTTTAAAGACTATGTTGGCAACCATACTTTTCAGTTTTAAACTCTACTATAATCTGTCTAAACCAGTCTATGTTTGATGTGGATCTTTTTTTTACTGACTTTGATATTTTGTCCTAGTGTTTCCTCTCCTAAATTATGCCATATGTCTCATCCAAAACCTTTCTAATCTGGAAACTGTCATTAATGTAATAACCTTTCTATAGAAATCATTAATTCTCCCTGTTTAATACAGCATTTTTATTTTTATAAGTTTGTTATCACTGCTCAATTGTTGTTGTTTTTTAATAATCTTTCATTAATCTATTATACTGGACCCTGTATAAACCGGTCCCAGTTATATCTGGTTTAGACAAGTTACAAGGCCTTTCAATGGGACATTTCCTATATATAAATGTGTCTATGGCCTATACAGCTATACCCTTTCTTGTCCCTGTCTGTTGTAACGGTGAGGTATCTGTAGTACCAGGAAATGCACACATTTGACCTTTAACTCTAGTGCAGAGCTCTTCATCTTAGTGGTAATGCACATGTGGTTTTTGGTAAGTTTCATTAAGGAAATTCTTATTATTTTTAACAATGACCTTGACTTGAGAAGAGGAACCTACAAATAGTTTGTGACACACTGTTCCGAGTGATGTACATGTGTAATCATTCAGGAAACTACAGTAATAATATTGAAGTTAAAACCGGGACCAGGAAATGAAGGCATCTGATCTTTGATCATTCTGTAACCTTGACCTTGGGTGAAAAGCCAGGCACCTGAAATAGTATCAGGCCCATCATCCACCACTTACACACTTGTGTTGCTTAGTTTCATTTTTTGAATTGTAGTTGAAGAACGGAGGAAGTATAAACCTGAAATTGTACATCTAGAACCATCACAGTATCAAGAGTATTAAAAAAACCAAAGTTTAAACCTGACTTTGCTTCTTTAGAACCATCATGGCTACATACTTAAGTCTGATATCTCTACAATAGTTATAAACCAAACTTATCTCTGTGACAAATAAGTGACAGTATTATTCTAAAAACAGTCATTGTCTTAGTACATTTCAAAATCATTTTGTCAAAATTTTGCAATAAATTAATTTGATCCTCTTTTTTCCAACACTAACATATCTAGGCTAAAATCTGTCTAAAACTTACCCTTGAAGCAGTTTTTATGTACAGCTCCGTTCCTGACATGGTTAGCCAGCATCACTCCAGCATCAGGGTCCTGTATAGCTCCCAGAATCTCACTGTCAACAACACAAGTTTTATAGTAACATCAGATTGATGAAGGTTGGTTCATGTTTTGTTCAATGATTTTCATGCGAGGAAACTTTGATTTGTCCAACATAATCTCACACCAACAAGAATAATGTCATCAAAATATGGGTCCTTCACTAAATCACTAATTAAACCATAACTTTATCAGAACACTTAGAACATATAACTTTTGACATTAGCTGTGATTTTTTAACTTTTTTCTTCAAACTTACCTTACATTGACTTTAGCTCTGAAGGCTGGAAATGGTACACTGCCATTGGAAACCTGCAAAATAGTATCAACCAACTGTGTCATCAGTACGAGATAACATTAAGTCAGTGATTTATATTTAATATGAAAGGGTTCTGCACCGGAATAGACTATCTCCTCTACACCCTTGGAATGCCATGGCAAGAATAATCGCTCATAACACAATACTACAAAGATAATACAAGAACGCTAGTCTGCTGCCTTTGATGACAATCAAAGAAAACGTACATCAGCCTAAAATATAAGAATAAGCCAATCTAAGTAGCTGTACTATTATTATTACACAATCTAATTATAGCACTCTATCTAGCCAGAATAAGACAATCTAAGTAGCTGTACTATTATTATTACACAATCTAATTATAGCACTCTATCTAACCAGAATAAGACAATCTAGGTAGCTGTACTATTATTATTACACAATCTAATTATAGCACTCTATCTAGCCAGAATAAGCTAATCTAAGTAGCTCATTACAATACATATACATATGTATCATACAATGCAAACAATGAATACAATGAGAGAACATTACACAAGCTGCTTAACAAGAAACAAACTAACAGGTATAAATTACCTAAGTAATATCTCCACATGTGTATGTGCCTGCATGTGTGTTATAGGAGTTGGATTTTTGAAGCGAGACCATGATTGCATCAACATTTTTATCAATATTGCAGCCTCACTTCAATGTTAAAGCATAGACAATGTAGCACCCACTCAAGACCATTAAATATGCTATCTGAGTTACTGGAGTTGTGTGTCAGGAGAAATATACTTTATCTAAAAATTTAAGCAAAGATGAATCTGATGTTGAAAGGCAACTGATGAAGTGTTGAACCTTAAGTTGCATTTTGGCCTTTGTCTTCAACAAAATATCAGTTTCCTCCACCCCAGTACACTGTATTGTGTTACACCATTGCCTGACCTGTTTTGAGCCAGAGATGGAGCGTATTACAGCCCCAATGGCATGAGCCCATCCTTCACGGTCCTTCCTTCCAGCAGCCTGCAGGTATATCTCTTCTCCCTCCGGCAGAACAATCTTGAACACTCCCTAAATTATAAAACATGTGTTTGACAATGGTTATTAATAATTGGGACGGGGCCCATTTTTCTTATTATGGAAAGAAAATATACAAATCGGGAAGGATTTTTTCAGAAGTAAACTGCAATTTTTTTTATTAAAATTTATTGAGAAAAGCTCCCTTTATAAAAGTTTGATGCACTCTGTCTAAACCAGACTCTTGTTCAATCCAGTTTTTTGTCGAAACCAGGTAAATTTGATTTTACAAAGACAATATGTAAAAAGTAGACTCTTCAAAATCAGGAACTCTCTGCCAACCAAACAATCATGTACTTCCACAGGTAACAGGATTTTTGGACATAGTACAATGTAAATGGATTTGCACTTCATGAAATGCAGCGATCATACAATATACATTTTGTATATAAAATTTACCTGAGCATCAGCTACAGGGTCATCTAGACAGGGGCAGATAACTGATGCTCCTTGTAATGAAATTAAGGTGACTATAACTGCCTTGTCACGTCGATGATGACAAGTGAGTTGATCTTCATGAAGTACCAACCATCGGATTTTCCATCTTTTGTTTGGCTCCTGTTGTAAAAGAAATGAATACGTAAAAATATTTTAACTTATTTAACAATTTCAAGAATGATGACCAGCAAATTCTAAAAATACCAAATTTAAGCTTTTAGAATGTTTTTTTCTGCTAACTTTGCATACATTTTCTGCTATAACTGTTAAATGGGAATTATTTTGAGCATTTAAACTGCTAAAGAAAGTGTCAATTACAAGGGTTCCAGATTGCACTCAGGGGTTTATGCCAACGACAACGACATCTGAATGCGATGGAGTATCACCTCATATTGTAAAATGATTTACCAGGTAACTGAACGAAAACACACAACTTTCTTTTTAACATTAGGACTAAAATTGAGCGGATTCTTTTTCAAACAAAATCCAATAAATAACCCAATGAAGTACATTGATATGTACACAAAAAAAATCTCAATTTTGATGTCTAACTTTTTGTGAAAATGACAAACCGTATCACTGACCTCGTTCTCAATTGACTTCAGAGTGTTGTCTTTGGGAGGGTTTAGCGCAAGTGTGACAGGAGAGCATGATTTCTTCAGTGTGCTATTCATAGCTACTCTATGTATACAACACGCAATAAACAATGGAGGTGATATAGTTTGTCATTTTCACAAAAATGTACACACTGAATTAACATATTTTTGTGCATAATTGTACCTCATTGTATTATATTTGATCATGTTGAAAGAATAATCTTCATAATGCTTAAAAGAACTTAATGTATTATCATTTCACTTTATTCCCCATTTCAGTAATAGAAATGTTACTGTATATGGAAACTGTTATCCTATTGCAAAGTTAGTTCCCATATGTCGGTATCTGTTACCAAAATGCAGGATTATTACCATATGCTTGGTTAACGTTGTGGCCAACATATGAACCTAGCCTGTTTATGTAAAATAACAATTGATTTATATAACTAGCTATGAGATTATTTTTTTCTCGTAAAAAGTGTATATCATTTAACTGGTTTAGGATAAACGAGTAATATGACAAAATCTGTAGCTAGAAGCATTATGCAATTCATACCCGTTTGCGTTTGGTCTGTGATTTAAGACAATGAAACTATCAAAAAATGACTCACTGGCCTAACGTTAAATATAGCTGTTACAGGTGTAATCACCTTGTATATCCGAAGTGACTTGACAAGTATACATATAACGTATGAACAGTTTGGACATGAATATTAATGTGGTAAAAATGTGAAAGAAAAATCGAATTAAGATCGTACGTCAATACGTTGTAGCATGTAAGTACACTGCACCAGATTCGTGAACCGAAACTGTGATTTCTGCATGACGAGGCCAAGGGGGTGGTGCCCTTTATATTTACAATCAATATCAAGTAAGTTCAAGAAGATATGACATTCTAGCGATATTTACAAATTTCAATAGATATCCAGTTTTCAGAGTCGTGTTCTCATTATCCATTTGATTGGTGGTTGTTTTCCAAGTCAAACTTCATTCTGCATCATCTGTTTTCCTCGTTGTTTTGTTTTTCAGCAACTAGTAGCTAGATGGCGCTCCAATGTAAACTTCCTGCTCCCCATTACAAGGGGCCCACGAAGGGGAACCCGGTCAGGATATGAACAGCTGCCAGATGGCCTGCCTATATAATTAGCTGCCGCAGCAACGTAGATAATAAGACGCTGTATCTAATACTGGTAGTAGCAGATGGTGGCTAGGACTTGTTATAGAGGGAAGGGTTAGCTAAAGCTGCACAAAGACCTATTTATATTATTAGATGAGGTTCTTTGCGCTACATCTTTCGGGCCTCTGAACCATGTACAATATTTATTAATATGTGAGGCCCGTTCAAATAATATACATAAAGGTTCATACCTAGCTAGTGTTATATAGTCGACATAAGTGCTTTGATATGTTGTCTATATAATTTATCTAAATATCAATAAATTAATATTAATTTTCTCTGTAAGAGTAGGTGCTCGGTACTAGAACCGATTGACCCGACCTCGTCAGGAATCTAAAGTTAGCTTACAGAATAGAGATTTCTCAGGCGATATATAGTTACGGTAGAGAATAACAGCATTTGTTTTACCCATTTCCTGTATAAATATGACTAAATTATACAATAAAACATGTTATCAATGTATCGTTTTTAAGCGGGTCAAAAACAAACAAGAGGCCCATGGCCCGGGCTTTAACGGTCACCTGATATATTTATAAAGAGAGTTGATTTTGTTTTTAACATGAACAGAAATATTATTCAAAGTGACAAAAAAAACAATAAAACCACCATATTCAATATCTAGCATACAGATTTAAGACTAAAAAGTATTTGAAACTAGCATCTCTGATTCTAACCAAGGAAAATGAAGAAATTTTAGCACACTGACTCTTTTGGGCCCCACCCTACCGCCCTTGGGGGAAGGTCTGGCTCAAAATTTTCAAAGTATCAAATTGTCAACTCAAGGTTATAATTCAAATCAAGTTATTAACATGTAATATTCAAAGTATCATTTGCCATTACAAACCATAATAAATTTTGCCGCCCCACCCATCAGCCCCGGGGGTCAGTCAGGGCTGATATGTGCATACCATCAAACTGCCATCCAATACTGATAATGCTAACCCAAATTGAATAACTTCCAATGGAAATTAAACAAATGTTGGTCCTAAATGTGATTTCCCAATATAAACTCTAGTAAAGTTAACCCCCTCCCCAGGGGGAAACGTGAGACCCCAGGGTCAAGAAATTCACAATTTTGGTAAAGCACCTTAAGACCCTTCCATTTATGAGAAGAAGATTTTTGAAATTTTAGTCAATTTGACCCTTTTTGGCCCCGCCCCTCAGGCCCCTGGGGGCTTGGGACTAAACCGGCCACTAATTTGTTGACCTTTGTCCATGGAAGGTTCCTGCAAAATTTCATTGAAATTGGTTCAGGGGTTTTGGAGAAGTCGAAAATGTAAATTGTTTACGGACGGACGACGGACGACGACGGACAAAAGGCGATCGCAATAGGTCACTTGAGACTTTGTCTCAGAAGGAAAGGGTATGATATGATATTTAACAATAATCATTATAACGGTTACAAACATTTCTTTTCCAATCTGAATTGTCTAAATAACATGTATGTCATTTTAAAATTTAGACTTGGTTAATTAATGACACATTTGAAAGATACATGTACGATGTTGAACGTATTGTATAATCCTCGTAAATTCTTCATCCATTTATCAAGCACCCAGGCCTATAAGTGTTAAATTAAGCCCTGGTGGACACTTGTATAGTAACGTTATATTTTACACAGTACGTCATATCCATGGGCAAAGTCAGAGTTCAAACCGTCATAGAGGTCCATTTAGTTCATAATTACCATGCTGAGGTCAGAGGTCACAGAATAAAAATATTTTCATTATTTGGAAAAAAACGATCGTTCTTCGTAGACACTGTTTTACCTTTTTTTGTATATTATGTTTATTGCGCTCTTAATTTTGGATTTACATTCATATACGGAAAGACGGAGCGGGGTTGAAAGGGCTTACAGCGCAACCTCCCAACCAACCCACCCCACCCCTTTTGTGACATATAAAAGTTCGGCAATAAGAGTATTAGTTAGTCACATTGATCAGTCGCGATACATTTGAATATGTGGCCGTTCAGACGGTATATAACAGAAAACAATATTTCCATATTGAACTTCCTGGTCGCAGTTCCGCTGCATTCCTCCCTACCATTTTCCCAGGCCTCGCCCCACAAGACACAACTATTTCCATCACAGTTTCGGGCCGGTATCCCCTTGTCAAACATACACCCAATGCCTGAAACAAGGATTATCAATTAAAGTTCGGCAATTTTGTAAAAGGAGAAAGAGAAACAAACGGCCAGACCGGGGTTCGAACCTGGGACCCTCCGACCTCTTGACACGCTCTACCAGTTGAGCTAGCTTAATTTGGTCCCCAACGATCGACCTCGTCCAGTTTCGTTACATTCCTCTCTCTGGTTTTTAAAATCTTTGCCCCTTAGACATTGATGTTACAGGTTCGGGTATCCCTTTGCGAAGCGTACACCAAATAAAATACACGGCCCGATTCGAACACAGGACCTTCCGAGCTCAAGACAGACGCGCTATCTGGTTACTGAAGATCGAACCAGTCCAGTAATGACTTATGACCCTTTAACCTTTAGGTGGGGACCAAACTGCTGGCGATATATTTTGTGCGTCCTGCAAGGATTAGGTAGACATTTCTTCCCACAACCGCAATGTTTCCTCACACAACCGCCATGTTTCCTAACCATCGGTTCGTTGGATAAACCTGCTGGGAGTTGGCCATGCTACATATAATATGTAGCGAACATAAATGAATGTAAACCCTGTAATTTCGATGATGAAGTCGGTAAACATATCTTTGAATTACTACGTCACGTAAACAAAAATCACCAACAAGTACTCGCTGGGGAACCTCTATATCCCGAACCATCGCTTACCATTGAAACCTATAACGAACAAATGTAGTGTAACTACAGCTCTCTGAGCGATATTAGAACGATAGTATAGAGGAGCTGTATGTTAGTCAGTATGTAACAAACGATCTCGAGACAAAGAAATTTAAATCAAGGCGATATAAACACGTTAACATTATTATGATAATTTAATGACCATATAATGACGTATAAAGTTATGTATTTTTGTTCATACATTGAACACAACTATAGATTGGAACCTGACTATTTTATTCCGCAAGGCATTATTCACGTATCTCTCACGTTGTTAAATTGTTTAATTATGTTTTTATTTCTCAAAAAGATACGAAATAACTTCTTCCTTTGAGCATGAAGCTTAAGACGTCGTACTTCACACTTTAAATACTAATATATTGATGAGGAAATCATATATTATTGCTTAGGTTTTTAGAAATACAGTGTTCCCAACTTAACATTAATACACCGGACTTTTCATTACGCAGCCTGCCTTACAATGTTTTTAAAACTACTTTACGACAATACTGGTATTTATAATGACCACTGTATGGCATAGTTACTTTAATCGTACATTCAGATGCGAGTCATATTACCTATGAATACCATGATCAGATTGTTGGCGTCATTCGCATTTTAACGTCATAACATGTTACTTAATTAGGACATGGTAAATAAACAAGAGATCCCAGAGGGATCTTGGCGCCCACCTTTGTACCATCTTCACTAGTTTTTTGTCAGTTCGATCCTTCTCTTCTTTCCTCTAATCTGTTTGATCGAGTCATGTAAACAGTAAACGCACCTTGAGGTAACTTTTGATCTAAACTTAATACTGATGTGTATGAAAGCCAACCTTCAAAGTGAGTTTGTCATTTCACATATTTACTAGTACAGTATTAATGCGAAAGAAATACAATCGATCATTGCAGTACGAGAAAGACCTGTTTAGTTCTTTTTTTAATTCATTTTGTTTTTATGATCAGTCTCAAAATATAACATGCACAACGAGGGATCAAGGGGAACATACATTTAAAATTTTGAGAAAGATCCCTCCCGTACTTCCCGAGAAATAGCGGTAACAAACCTACACAATCAAAATCCAAGATGGCTGCCAGTCGGCCATGCTGTTTATCCGAAGAGACTCAAAAGTTGCCCTGCACAGCTAAGGACCAAGGGGAACCTACATATAAAATTTGAGAAAGATCCCTCTGGTACTTCTTGAGAAATAGCGATAACAAACTTTCAATATCAAAATCCAAGATGGCTGCCTGCCGGCCATGTTGTTTATCCGATCAGTCTCAAAAGTTGCCCTGCACAGCTGAGGACCAAGGGGAACCTACAATTAAAATTTGAGAAAGATCCCTCCCGTACTTAACGAGAAATAGCGGTAACAAACCTACACAATCAAAATCCAAGATGGCTGCCAGTCGGCCATGTTGTTTATCCGAACAGACTCAAAAGTTGCCCTGCACAGCCAAGGGGAACCTACATAGAAAATTTGAGAAAGATCCCTATGGTACTTCTTGAGAAACAACGAAAACAAGAATTGTTTAAGGATGGACCACGGACGCAGGGTGATTTGAATAGCACACCATCAGATGATGGTTGGCTAAAAAGACTGGAAGTTAGATTTTTAATCCTTTCTATGTGGAAATATTAAAAGTGTGCATTTCAATTCTCAAAAGGGCCGAAATCCATGTTTTAACGATGGACCCTACTCAACTGACCACTCTTTTTCTTTTGACAAGCATATACAATACATGTATCGATTTTAACTAAATGCTGGATTGTTTGATTTTCTTATTTTGATTTTACTAAATTCTGCTGGCATTCACAGGCAATTTGAATGCCAAATTCACTAGAGTTAACATTTGTCCAACTATCATACATGTATGAATGCTAACTGAAAGCAGTTCACATGTTAAAGAGAACCATTTTGTCAGTTTAAAAATCACAAAAAATGGTCCACTTTTGAGGTGGTTTTTTTAATTGATTTTTTGAGTATTCCTGGTCTTTTATGGGAGATTAGGTACCAATACGGAGTTTTCATGAGTATGGGTTACTTCCCTTGTCAATGAATTTGTAATATATATTTACGTATTGCATAGTATGTCAATTAATTTTCCTTCCAAACTTTTATAGCTCTATATCCCAAGAAGCTTCCAGCCAAATCTCATGAATCCATTCCTTTTGGTTCTTCAGAACACATCCTTTGAAATGTTGTTGACCTCTGTGACATTTAAAGTAGGTCGAGGTCATCTTAATTTGCAAACTTTAGTGAGCTCTAACCCAAGAAGCCACTAGCCAAATATTACAATTTTACGCCTTTCGATTTTTCTTCAGACGTCACTTAATGTTTTTAACATATTTGACACCTGTGACCTTGTAGAAGGTCAGTCATTTTCATTCTCAAACTTTGTCAGGCTCTATCTCAGGAAGCCACAAGGAAAATATGAAGGTTCTACACCTTTTAGTTCTTCAGAAGTAGTCTTTTAAAGAGTTTGACATATTTGACCTTGAAGGTAGGTCAAGGTATTTTCATTCTCAAAATTTGTGGGCTATCCCAGGAAGCCACCAGCCAAATATAAAGATTCTATATCTTTTAGTCGTTTAAAGAGTTTGGACATATTTGACCGCTATGACCGTTAACGTTGAAATATTTGACCGCTGCGACAGTTAACGTAGGTCAAGGTCATTATCTTTCTCAAACTTTGTCAATCTCTATCTCAGGAAGCCAACAATCAAATATAAAGATTCTATAACTTTTAGATCTTCATAAAAAGTCGTTTGAAGCATTTGACCTTGAAAGCAGGTCAAGGTCATTTTAATTCTCAAACGTTGTTGCGCTCTATCCCTGGAAGCCACAAGCCAAATGAATCTTTACCTTTTAGGTTCTTCAGAAGTCGTTTAAAGAGTTCGACATATTTGACCCTTGACCTTGAAAGTAGGTAAAGGTCATTTTCATTCGCAAACTTTGTTGGGATCCTACCAAGGAAGCTTTCAGTCAAATATCATGGCTCTACGCCTGTCCGTTTTTCATTAGTCGTTAAGGAAAAGTAGATGAACCATGTGGCTACTTCTTAGCGTTATGTGGTAACCTATTTCCCTTTCATTTGGCAACGTCTCCTGTCACGTCAAAACATCTTGTGATGTGGTTTCTGTTTAATTTTTGTCCATTTCTTGTGGCAATATGTCAAAACTTTAGGCTAGATGTCAAAACTCCTGATGTTATTACCTCCAATATGGTTACTTTCGATGGTACCAGATACTTTAAATAACTACTTGAAGGTACATAGTGAGAATATTCATTATTTAATCCCCCAACAAGTATAACAATAATTACCGTATTGGTTGTAAACAGTACCAAAAGGCACTTGGAAAAATTGGCCAAGGACACATCCGCTGAATAATTTCAAACCTTTTTTCTCCAAAACATCCGAAAATAGACATCAGTCAGAATGTAGTGTCTGATGTAGCATATACATGGTGCCATTTTTGTTAACAGGAGCAAACTAGAATTAAAGTTTGGTCAAGTAGGAGTGCCCATTACATTTCAGTAAGTGTCAAATCGAGGGAAGGGATGCTTGATAAAATATATCTTTTATTGTTTCACTCTAGTTACTGGTATGAACCAGAGGAAGGTGATTAAGAACAACTAGATATGCTGCCAACAATTTCACTTTTTTTTATTGACATGACCTCAAGATACATTTAGTCTTGATGGTTACTTCAACATTCTAAACATCAATAAAAATATGGGCAAAAGTTTCTTTTCTGTAAAAAGTTTGCAACTAAAATGATACGGACTTCAATCTACAATGACATGATGGGGTATAATGTGTATATATATATATACATATATATATAGACAATCAACATATATACTATTTATGTAAATCTGGCAATGCCGAGTACCTCGTCCTAAAAAACCAGATTAGGCATATATGTAAACAAGATTGAACACTATGACAATGAAAAATGGAACATGAAAATTTGATGACATTCCATCCACTGTACCACAATTCTTGTTTACATTTCAAAAGAGAATTGCTCGCTGTAAAAATGAACATTTATTTTTTAAACATGAAGATCCTTTTCCCTGAGCAGATTAAAAACAAGGAGGCAAAAATGAAATCTGTTTTCAGAATACACTCGTCCTAGTCACATTGAGCTAGAGACAAATCATGCGATAGAAAATTTTCGAATTCCATACGAATTAATTTTGCCTCCAAAAACTTGGATTAAATCGTATAATTGTAATATCCAATTGTAAACTAGATAACATACAACCTGCAGCAACAAATTTAGGATAATTTCTTTAAAATCTAATTAAAAATCAAAATCCACAGGAATAAAATAGAAATGAAATGAATGGGTAGCTGAATGGAATGTCCAATTTATGAAAATAATGACAAGATGGATACTACTTAAAAAAAAAACACTGGTCGGAGACAATCATGGGAAAACAAAACCAAGTCATTTCAGCACAATTTTTCATAATGAATATCAACTGCATCTACAATAAATGTTAATTTGTTCAAATACTCCATAGGGACTTTTCTTCACGATCAGCTGGCAGCATTTCTCGATACAGTTTACAAAAATGCTGAACACTGCAAAATTAATGCCTTCATTTGTAGATTCTAAAATTAAGCGCTCTCCACAAAATCCATGTCTAAGTACCTGGCCCGTGAATACATCCCACACAAAACATTGCCATTTATTTTTTTCGCAGTTAAATCTCAGTCACAACTACTGCAAGTTTATAAAGCAATGCTTTCAATGCTGCTCAGTGTTCCAAAAGGAAATATTTGATTGTTCACTTGGCTAGATCTGGAGAAACCTATACACGACACGAAGTTTGAAATACCAGTTTCTTTTCAAATAAAATTTAGACAAATTCTGCAATATCTCCATTCCAGGTTGATAATGACAGTGTGTTTTTCATCGTCACTAACTAGCACATTCATAATTTCACTCATCGTCATCCTCATCATCATCTTCCTCCTCATCATCATCATCCTCTTCATCATCATCCTCATCATCATCATCCATTCCATTGTTTGCAGGTACTGGCGGCGGCCGGGCTTTTGCAACACTGGCACCACCTGTAGCTCCACCCTAATTTAAAAAAAAAGAGATAATTTTGTTTATATCTGTAAACAAAACCTGTTCATATTCAACTTCCCAAAGAATATATAATATTAATCTTAGAATTTAGGACTTACCCACCATAAACAAAGGTCCATGAGAATAGATTTCTTATAAATCTACTGAAATTTTAATACACTGAACTTTATAAAGACAAGACTCTGTCATCGATATCCCCGCTCGCAGTGCAATAGTCATTAAAAACATACAAACAAGTGTAAAATATAGTTCTAAAATCAGTATCTGCAATAAGCATTCAGTAGACCAATCCTGGATACACAATTGATGTAAGTATAATCAACATAGCACTTGTAGTAGGCAAGATATAGATGAGTGAAATTCTTCTTAAACAGATGCATGTTCAGCAACCAGACCCCATTTCTATATACCGACACTAGTAAAATAGTATGCCTACTCATTGAGCGGGGGATAAAAAGGCTACTTGTTTCAGGGGTGGAATAAACTGCTGGTCTGCTGGCCCACGATAAAATGACTAGTGGTATTCCAGATGGAGCAGTAGGTTTTGCAACAAGCTATCCTGACAGGCAAGTAGAAATTTTGTAGATTAACTCAAATTTCAGCAGATTTGCAAAGCTTTTAGTTAAATATTTTAAGCCAGAATGCACCATACAGCTTCTACATTTTCCAGTGTGTGTGGATGGAGCATGCCCTGGATCCCTGGTAGCGAGTGCCTGCAGTCCTCCTTTTCTGGACAACTGCACTTCAAACAAGACCAGTGATTTTTTTTTACCTCAACTGGCCCTTTTGGCCAGAAACCCTTCTTTATTTAATTCCACCCAATTAATTTGTTCAATAATATGAAATAAAAAGAAATTATACAAGAGTTTTCCTTTAACTTCTATTCAAATCACTGAATCATCTGCATCATTTGATTTAACTTTATGGACAGCACGGTCTAAAGTAAATTATTCCTAGGCTTAACTCTTAGACTGCTAAGCAAGATTTACCTCCCCTTAGACCCAGCCACCAAGTAATTTCAGCTAACGAGGTTTTTAATTAGTGTATTTTATTTAAAAAATCGTAACTTTTTTGTGTTTCATTTGATTGCAATAAGACTATGGTATGTTTTTGAGTTTGAAGTAAACTTTCATTTGCAACCAACTTTGTTTTGAAGTGTTGTCATTTATTCGAGAAATGGGGTGTTGAACAACAAAAACGAACAAAAAACGCAAAAAAACAACAACATTTTCTCAACAATAACTCTAACATACCTAATTTACTGTTATTCNCTAGTGTTGTTCATGGTAATTGTCTGTGGGTCCTGGATCTACTGGAACTGTCAAGTTCAAACACCGATACGAGAATAGGAGTGTTCTATTTCTAAACAGCCCCCCCCCCAATCAGACATGAAGTTATTGACCAGCATTCAAATCTAGAAAATGTCAGAAGATATTGCTGAAAATGTACAAGGAAAAGACCTTCAACAGTTAATACATCTACACACAATGATTTGTATATATACCAACCTCTCTCCATTTCTTTAATTCCTCGTCATACTTTTTCTGTAATACTTGGCTTTGCTCCTCGTATGGTTTTTTATCACGATCTGTCAGTTGACGCCATTCTGCTCCAGCTGAATAAAGGTAAGTTATGTGGGTCATCATTTCTTTTAAGTCAAATGGTACAGTTCAATATAATTTATTCTTCTTTTGAAATTCATTTGACATCATGATGAATATAGAAAAATAAATATTAATTAGACAGAAGTGCACTGCAATAGATAAATTAACATTTATAGTAGAACATCGTCCGACACGAATAATCCTGGAGGGGGTCATATCACCGACCCCTGGAAAATTGAAATGGACTCCTTCATGTTCGATTTTCTTTTAATTTACATAGAATGGCCCCTCTTAATTTTGATATTAACTAAAATTGCTGAAATTGCAAACACTTCATATCTAATCCTTTCAACACTTTAGACTATTATGGACTCATCATGATCAAGATATGGAAGAGTTTATTAAAAGTACATAGGGGTGAAAGGGTTAAGGTCTTTTCAGGTCTATACATACCTTGCCTGATGACATCTTTATGACCGATGTCAGTATTTTTCATCTTTTTCCTGTAGTCTCCAAGAAAGAGGAAGTAAGCAGTCTGTGGTCTCTTTGGCTTGGTGGGGTCTATTACTTTTCCTTTGAACACTGCCATTTCGGCGTCATACCTTGCCTTGTCCTTTGCAGCACGTTCGTCAAACTCCTTCTTGTCCGCAGGGGTCATACTCCTCCATTGTGCAGAAGCTTCTTTAGTGAATTCAGCAATCTTCCAAAAACATGAATTAACAGCATATTATAGCTCAGATAATCATAATGGTTTAAGATAGAGAAAGTCAACATTCGTTCTCTTCAAAAAATCAGTATCACGAATCTAGACACTTTATGAAACAAAGATATGAGATCATAACTTAAATTTGAAATATTTCTACTGAAAATATTTGAACCCTTAGTTAAGGCTGCTACATTGATTTCTATGTAAAGGGACACCACTGCTGAATTAATTAAGAGTGTTTTGTTTCATTTTCTCATGAACAGTGTTCAAAGTGTTGTTTTATTTCCCCAATGTAATGCAATTGTTATGTAAAATTTGGATTACCAAACTGTCATTTGGGACACCCAGTCAGTTTCCAGATATACAAATGTATTTTATACAGTCAAACATATGTTCATCCAAAATATATTTAATTGCTTTGGTTTATGCACATAATTTTTATCCTTTTCCCACATTTTTTTGTTTTATATTATAGAACATTTAACTTGCCATTAAAATATTTTTAAATGCAATTTACTTTGTGTTACAATATATGTATCGCTCAATCCCTGACCCAAATTTTTGTGCTCTTTCTATATTGCATTTGCTGTCAATTTCCAACATGCATTTCTAGCGACTTTCTTTTGTAGAGGATGATGTCTGGACATGTGACTGCTTAGATTTGTTAGTTCCAGGGACCTCCCTGGGAAATTTAGCTGATACGGTTCCGTATCGGCTTCATTTCGAAATCCTCCCTGCTTTATAAGCTTAATTGACCTGCATCACCTTAGACTATGAACAGTATCATCTTGTTATTTGTACTGAATGGGTTATTTTTACAGGAGAAATTGACACTGATTAAATCACAAGGCTGACCCAAGTGCAGCAATGACCCCACTGGTCAGTTGCAAGATGGGCATAATATGCCCCCAGGGGGGCCTGTAATTAGTGGGAAGGGAGACATGACGATAAGCCCACAGGTGTCCAGCAAGCATACTCACTGGAGCCTAAAGCAATTACCACCAGATCCTTTTAACATGGTCAATAGGTAATTAATTGTAGTAACTGCTGTAGGATTAACAAAACAAACACTCGATACAGCTATTATAAATCAATTTACTCGCATATGATTGCATTTATTCAGTTAGTGATGGTCGCCATCTTGGATTGTGTAAAGTACAGACCAGAGAACAGAATGAAAATCCAGTTTTGTTGTTATTAGGGACCCAAATAAAAATGCTGTTTTGATCAATTTAATTGACAGCAGTATTTAATAGTTTTAGAGGAAATAAAAACACTGTAAATTTGATATAAACATTTTCTCTTACCATAATAGGAACTGTGATGTAAAAAAATTCATGCAAGTGTTTCCCCCTTATGTAACATAAACAGCTTTTAAATGCCTGATTTCATATGTAAATGTTCACATTTAAAAAATACATTAAAAACAGAACACACCTTTGAAATATTTTTGCCAGTTACTTTTGCCTCAGCTCTGCAATGAGCCAAGAAAAAGAAGTATGAAGATGTTGATCTTTTTGGCCTGTTGGCATCCTTTGGTTTCCTCTTCCTTTTGGTGGGCGAGTCTGCTGATGGTCGACCTATGATAAACAACACATTGATTTCAAAAACCTGTACATACAGATGATCAAACAAATTAATAATTCATTACACTGCAACTTCAATAGCATTCACAATTTAAGATTTGAATCAGATTCAAAATGTGTTTTGATCTAACGTAACAGGAACTTTATAATATTAACAAATTATAATATTTTGCAGCCATTTTGATAATGTGAATTCCCTGCGCTAAAATTAACCCTATTTGGCACATGATTAATTAGTAAAATTGTCATTGCCTTGCCATTTTTAATGTTGCTTTATAAATATTATGAAATAATATGCAACAAAGTTGTAAATTATATGATATTGGCAATTTAAATATATATTAGCAAAAGACAACCATGTGTGTCTTCTGATCTTGAAAATAGAATGTTCCATATTTATTACATAAACACAGTATTAACCTTTAATTTTTTTTTTTTAAATAAAACATTCCTGAAGTGGTGGGGTAAAAAATGCAACATACGTTCAGCATTTCAGAATACATTAACTTTTTCTCAGTTTGAACAAAAAGGCATTTTAAAAGCTTAATATCATTATAACATCATTTGCAAATTGGATTTGATGTAGGCCTACCATAAAACTTCATATATTATATATTGACTATTGGGTCAGTCAGTGGAAATTGCATAAAAGATATATGGGGCAACATATTGGCATTTATCCCATTTACATTTATTATAATAATTATGAGTCTCAATATATTTGACGCATTTGTAATCGAAAAACATTAATGGGTTCATATAAACAATGTATTCACTATTGAACTGAATCACAAGTTTCATATACCATAATACGTAATAACATATAGCATTTGCTTAGCATTCGCCCCTCCGCCTTTATATTCGCTTTAAAATTTGAATCAAAGTCTGTTAAATACGTTCAAAAAACCCCAAAACACGACAAAATATAGTATTCATGCTTATTCACAATGCAACGACTAAAAGATTTAAACATTTCTTTTGAAATCGCGTTATTTTCAAAAATGAAAGTTCTGAAAAAAATATGCATAAGTCAAAGAAGCCCCGAATCTTTTTGTCCCCTTTCGATGGGCCTCAGGAATACCAGCGGGGCCAGGTGAACCAAAGTACAAAATTAATTACTTTTTATCATTTCAAAAAATCTGGATTCCACAAAAATGATCCCTGTTCAAAAATATTGCTAAACTGATCATCACTACTATTACTATATAATACACCAGAACATGGCCACTGTAACACTACCAAACGCCTATATAGCTTTGTGAACAACCCGGCGAGCAAGCCGACCAAAATTTATCCTGAAAAACCACAATGAAATCCAAAATTATTATAAACATGGTCAAAAATGACCCTCACCGATCGTTCAATTCGATCATGGAATTGTGTCATCATCGGCATATTCGTCTGCAAAATAAACTATCATCAACTACCAAATCCTACTATGTGTATATAGAAGTAGTGAACTTACCCATACTGTTATATATAAAATGAAGCACGATGTTCTTTGTAGAAACCTTGTAGTATGATTAGCAAGCCGTAGGACGCTACAAAGGACTATTCACGTGGTATAAGTCAGCCAATAGATGTGAAGCATTTTCCCGCCGCGCAAGAGTTATTTATATGGGACGTAACTCTTGTGTGTCCTCGCCCGGGGCTTTGTGTGATGACAGGATTTCCTCAATGCATGTCAGGGGCAGATTAATTCAACACCTGTATTGTATAGCGTCTCCAGAACAATTAAACAATCGGAAGCTCCGCCTTTCTCGGTCTGTCTTTAAGAGGTGTTATCTAGAATGGAACTCACCATTACAGCCTGAAGGTTCAAAAAAATCTATGCATTATCTTCAAGTATACAAGAATTTAAATTAAAATGATGAAGCTAATGTCAGTCATATCTCGAAACTTCTATCTGTTAAGACAATTAATATATAACTGTTTTTTTCACCGTATTTTTTAATTTACTATATTTTAACATACAACTGTTTGAAAAGTTGATAATCTAGACAATCCTGTATTACATCGAATATTAAAACAGAACTGACATTATTTCTCGTCGGTTTTTCCATAGTACTAGTGACAGCAGTGAGGTCACGAAACGTGATGTAGATTCATACTTTCCTCAATGGTTACATGTGACATATCTTTAAAAGTTTAATTGAAGCACAAATAATAACTATATACATATATATTTATATATGACGTATTTTGAAATAGAAAGATATCCATCGAATAATGAGTAAAATTTCTAATTCTCCAGTACGGATCTCAAGTCAAGTATTGTATCAAAAGTTTACTGGGATACCCGGCATGCATGCCTATAAGCTAATTGATCAAGATACACTGTGAATGAATCTTAAACAAGATTTATATACTATCTTGTATATTTATAAGGAATAATGTAAAATGTATATAACAGGAATAATATAATCGCTGAAAACAAATTGACATAATGAGGATGTCATCACTAAAATCGAAGGTCGAGTAGCCGTTCTTCTGCATCATTTGAACTGTATGGGACTGATTAGGGACCCTTTTTTTTCTATCAGTCTTCTCGTTTTGTCATCGGGACAAAGTACCTCGAAAAGGAAGCAAAACAAGAAACTCGACCATGAAAGATTATTAACTCACTGAAAACTAGAGATCGTCATCGGTCAAGTAAGTGGAACAGCGCAGAAGGCAATAAAAGAAACTGTTACTAGTAATTAGAAATGGCTACTGCTACAAAGTAAAAAAAGCTAAAATGCCCTTAATCAGCTACCATAGATCTGAATGATCGACGCGGCAGATCAATATCATTTCATTTTTACTAAATATGAATGCCTAATCTGAAGAACGGGTTTGAGGAACGAAGTAATTTAGCCCAGAGACCTTTTTACTTCAAACTTGGTGTTATTTTTATTTCTAGCACCCCTAAAGAAAACATGATTTAGACTTAAAACTTCAAAATGCCTTATGGGTCTAATGTAATGATCACTTGATAAAAAAAAGTAGCCTCAAAAACGTGTTGTACACTTTTGATTTATCAATCGTTTTCTCGTTAGAGGCTGCGGCAGTTTTTAATCCAAATAGATATATGCTGCTACATACGTCACGGTGTAAGGGTTATGCAATGTAAAACAAAATAAAAAATTCCGGAGTTTCCAAGAAAAGATAAATGTCAACTATTTAAAGGAATAATTTACGTACTTCTGTGTGCATTGAACTTAGATAATTTTGTCGTTAATTTTATATACTAAAAAGTGAAAATTTTCGCGGTGAGTAAGTTGGCGCGAAAATATCCACAAGCGAATACTAATAGGTTAAAGATATATTCCGTCTTTGCGTATTGCAGAGTTATCTTCTCTTGTGAGCAGGTATTGTTTGTTACGTCATTGGTTTGTGTGCGAAAATTACGTTGTTTTCTCAAAAAATTATGACGTTACTATCACAAACAAATGACGTAACAATCAATACCTGCTCACAAGAGAAGATAACTCTGCAAGACGCAAAGACGGAATAGAATTTATAGATTTCAGTCAGAACCGTTACCAACACGAGCATTTTCACACAGCGATCAGTGGAAACTATCACAACGCGAACAAATTCACGCACGAAAACAAGCACTTTTCAGTCATTAATTACAGTAATGCGGACTAAGAAAATAACCATTTTTCAGTCATTAAGTACAGTAATGCGGACTAAGAAAACAAGCACTTTTCAGTCATTAATTACAGTAATGCGGACTAAGAAAACAAGCACTTTTCAGTCATTAATTACAG